AAGACAGGCGAATGGTCAGGGCAGGCAGCAAACAAACACGAAATGAGAGAGAACAGTCCAGGGTCAAACACAGTAATCCAATAACAAAGGTGGTAACGCTCAGAAATGTCAGCCAGGACGAAACAAGACTTCGCGGAGAATGAGTGTGAGGCTGAGGCTTAAGTAGTCCCGGTAACGAGCTGCAGGTGAGCTCGTAATCAGTGCTACGCAAGGGGTGATGGGAAATGGAGTTTAGAGGGAGAAGTCAATACTCGGGTGATGGTGACCTCTGGTGACAATCGGGGGAACCACAGAGGCCGGATTCGTTACAATGGGAAAGGAACTGACATTTTAATTTACATCTTCACCAATTATTTTTGGGAATAGTGTTCTGTCATTTTTACAATTTCATTTGACCTTGATATATCCACCAATATGTTTTTTTTATTTTTTTACAGTAAATGTGTTTCATATGAGTTATTTGATTATGAGTAAAGAGCATGGTTGATGAGGTGATTGACAATTTTGGACATGACAGTTGAGCCTAATGAATGCACATACACTTTCCAACATGGACCTGAAGCTCTTGACAGTACTGTAGCAAAGCCATGTTCTAACAGACCCTTTGCAATTTTTCTAGAATGTTGTTCTCTTTTGAAGTCTAAGCTAGCTCACACTGATACTATAACTAGTGAACCAACGTGAATGACTGACTGTATGACCTTAGCATTGACTGTATGACCTAACACTTCAAGTAGCTTGTTAAGGTTAGGTGGCCGCTATTTTTTAAACTTCACCCACAGAACGAGCTGAGCATAAAAGAACGCACTTCTTCATTCAGATGGGTAATTTACTGCAGGTGTCAGCGCTAAAGCAAAATCCTGGAGAGCAGCCATTTTTTTCCTCAAAAATTAGGTTGAGTGAAAATGGTAGCTCAGTCAGTCATGACTCAAAGCACTAAATATTTTCCTGACAAAGGTAAAATGAATATACCTTTGAAAATTATATGACTACAGTTTAGTATTCTATATATTACATATTACATATTAGGCAAGGCAAGACAAGGCAAGTTTATTTATCTGCATTTGCCTTGCACCTCTGTGATTCGGGGCTCGATTCCCACCTCCACCCTGTGCGAGCGGAGTTTGCATGTTCTCCCTGTGCTTCGGGGGTTCCCTCCTGGTAATCCGGTTTCCTCCCCTAGTCCAGTCCAAAGTCATGCATTGTAGGCCAATTTGCCAAAATTGTTCGTAGTATGTGAATGTGTGTGTGATTGTGCGCTGCGATGGGTTGACACTCTGTCCAGGGTGTCCCTCGCCTTGTGCCCTGAGTTCCCTGGGTTCCAGGCTCCCCTGCAACCCTGTGTAGGGTAAGTGGTACAGAAAATGGATGGATGGACATTTCATACACAAAGGCAATTCAAAGTGCTTTAGATAAGTACAATCAAAGACCATTAAAGGATGAAAGAGAAATATAAAGATAAACAAAACTAAAAGTATATTAAGTTCATGTAATACATCAGGTACTATTTCACAGAGTGCTCGCTACCAGCATGAATAAAAAGAATGTCCATCACCAATATGCAGAGGCAAGAGGCAGACCCACTGTCTGACCATATCTATCGCATGTGTTCTGGCCTCTACATCTTTACTGTGCAGACTCTGGCTCCAATTTTCACAAGATGTTAACTCCCATTTCAACCAAAAATGGGTTCAGAACTGCACAAAGGGAGTAAATGGAGCCATGTTGTAAAAAGCCCATGGACTCAGGTTAACGTAAAGCCTTACAGTTTTCCTACATACTCGTAAGTTCTGAGTCATGTTATTGTGGATCGATTTCTTGTGTATAACTTGTTTTGCCTTTTCATGTTTTGCCTTCTGATTTGCCCTGACTGTTTTATTTTGATCTATCTGCCTGGGTTTTGAACTCTGCTTTTCCTGTTTTTTGACCACTCTTTGGATCATGTTTTTGGATTTGTCTGTCACTGATTTGCTGCTGAAATTTTGGTATTGACCCTGAAATGTCTGAGTCTGGTTCGTTAAATTAACAGTGGTTGAAAAGTGAAGCTAAAATTATTCTGATGTCCTCTGGTGGCTGGCAGCAGTACAAATTTTAACCATATCCAGGTTCATTAAAACAAGCACTAGTCCAAACTAAAAAATTAAAGTTATAGTGTATAGTATGTTTTTGTTAAAAGCGATCAAAAAATGTGATCTCAGTGATTTTGACTGTGGCATGATTGTTTTTGCCAGACGGTCTAGTTTAAGTATTTCTGTAACTGCTGATCTCCTGGGATTTTCACACACAACAGTCTCTAGAGTTTACTCAAAATAGTGCAATAAAGAAAACCATCCACTGAGCGGCAGTTCTGCGGATGGAAACAGCTTGTTGAAAAGAGACATCAACGGAGAATGGCCAGACTGGTTCAAGCTGACAGAAATTCTACAGCAACTCAGATAACCACTCTTGTGGTGAGCAGAAAAGCATCTGAGAATGCACAATACATCGAACCTTGAGACGGATGGGCTACAACAGCAGAAGACCACGTCGGGTTCCACTCCTGTCAGCTGGACAGTTGAAGACTGGAAAAACGTAGCCTGGTCTGACAAATCTCAATTTCTGCTGAGGCACACACATGGTAGGGTCAGAATTTAGCACCAACAGCATGAATCCATGGACCCAACCTGCCTTGTGTCAACAGTCCAGGCTGGTGGAGGTGGTGTAATGGTGTGGGGAATGTTTTCTTGGCACACTTTGGGTCTGGCACACTTTGCATGTTCTAGTGGCTAATTCCAGCATGATAATGCACCATGACACAAAGCAAAAGTCATCTCAAACTGGTTTCATGAACATTTCAATGAGTTCAATGTTCTTCAGTGACCTTCACCAGATCTGAATCCAATAGATTATCACACATATCACACCTTCAGGATGTGATAGAATGGGAGATTCGCAGCATGAAAGTGCACCTGAAAAATCTGCAGGAACTGTGTGATGCAATCATGTCAACAGGGACAAGAATCTCAAAGGAATGTTTCCAACATCTTGTGGAATCCATGCCACGAAGAATTGAGGCTGTTTTGAGAGCAAAGGGAGGCCCTACCCAGTATTAGTATAGTGTTTCTAATAAAGTGCTGTTTAAGTGTATATTTTCTAGTATTTATTAGTTGTTTTTTTTTAATCCGGGCATTGGTGGTTGTTAATTGACATTACTGTTTCATCCATGCAACAGCACTTAAGTTCTGGGTTTTTTCTCCTGCATGGTGTTATATCTCTGTAGTCCTGATATCAGAGATAATTGGTTCTTACCTTCCAAGGCATACTGATAGCATTCTTCAGCAGCCTCTCCACCTCATTCAGCCTGACCTCAATGTCCTTCGCCTCTTTAATCTTCATGAGACCTGGAGACGTGAACACACAAAACACAACATCAACGGCACTGACAAAAGGCCAAGGCAAAAAAAAAACAACCATATCAGACGATAACAAAGGTCATGTCACGCAGGGCCTGAGTTTATTGAAAGTCCGTGAATAGGCTATGACCTCATATTACACAGACTGTATACAAATTAGACTCAGAATGCTCCAGTTGTATAATACTAACCATGCTTTTATGTTTGGTTATTTTAACCATATCTGCAGGAAGCCCACCCCTGTATGCGTCACAGGGCACCATGCACACACACATTCACAGATAGGGGCAATTTTAGAGTATCCAGTTCACCTACCAACATGTTTTTGGGAGGTGGGAGAAAACAAGAGAACCCAGAGAAAACCCACTCAAACATGGGAATAACATGCAAAATTCCATATTGGCAATAACCTTAGCTCAGGATCAAACCATGGACCCTGGAGCTGCGCCAATGTGTTTCGCCCACAGTGAAAATATGGACAAAGTAAAATGAACTGGTCACAGCCTCATCCTTTGTTGGCTCAACCCTTGCTAAATGCCATTTTTATGTTGTGGCCCATTTGCATTTCCAACATGTTTCCTGTCCACAACCACATTTATCTGTGTTAGTGTACACTGCATGAAGGGGCAATTTTAGAGTAGACAGGCCACCTGCAGAGGGAGGAAAATGTAGAAGCCAGCGGAACCCGTGCAAACACAGGAAAATGAACACTGAATTGCTGCACCCTTCTTAAACGGCAAAATCTTCTGTAACATGTGCATAAACTCAGCGTGGTGTTTATTGAGAGCTTTCCAATAATTATAGTCATAATCCAGAGCAGCATTCAATACACTGGTAGGCAATGTCCGAAAGGAATAATCCATAACGTGAAAAAGCAAAAACAAGTGAGAACCAAAAACAGGTGAAAACGAGAAAAAGGCTTAGAAAAGCACAAACGCAATGAATGAGACTTTGCAAAGAAATAAATATACAAGAGGGTACAAATAGAAACGCTAATCAGAGTCTACACTGAAAACAGGTGAACACAAGGGAGAAACCAACCAATGACAAAACACAGGCGGAGACAGGACTAGCAGACAAGAAAGACACAGGTTACAATAAGAGCATGACTATGTACATTGGAAAGGGAAAAGCACCGTACTCTGACAGAATGCCTGACAAGAGTAGGCCTCAATAAAAGCTAAGGCATATTAGAAATGTGTAAATGTACAAATTTTAAAGACTGACTACTTTTGGGTTGTTTGAAAGACTAACTGGCCTCAAGAAAGCCCTGTGTAGACTGTAGCAGCTTACCATAGTTTAGTGCCAGTGCCACTGATAGAGAACACTGATTTAATCCTGTCTGTGCCACTCACTCTTTATTCTGATGTACATATGTCTGCTTTTAAGACTCGCTTGACAAGTTCCAGACACTTTTCTTATAACTGTTGTTCTTCTTTCGGCTGCTCCCGTTAGGGGTCGCCACAGTGGATCATTGGTCTGCATGTTTGATTTGGCACAGCATTTATGCTAGATGCCCTTCCTGATGCAACCCTCCCCAGTTTTATCCAGGCTTGGGACCGGCAATGGGAGTGCACTGTCTCGTGCAAGCCCAGTGGCTGTGGTTGGTTCCCTGGCCAGGAATCAAACCTGGGCCGCGGCGGTCAGAGCACCGAGGCCTAACCATTATTCTTCAGGGGACCCAGATGTTTTTCTTATAACTGATGTCTCAATATTGCTGTTGTTAAGCTGTGATATGCTATTGTACGTATCCATGTTGCATTTTATCTTCAGAATTCTGAGCTCAGTCTAATGACAGTGACAGCACGTAGCAGGTTTGCAAAATGTAATGTGAACCCCAATATATAAGCATAAAAACAAAATGTATAATAATAATATTAGTAGTAGTAATTATAGTGGTTGTTAACCTAACAAAGTATTGTTAATGGATTGACTGATTTTTTTGCATTTACATCTACAATAACCTGACCCACTCATGGTACAAAAATCTTTCCACATAAATATTTCCACACAAACAATGCTGAAATGTATTGCTGTTCAAATCAACACAGTGTGCAGAAAAAGATAAAACATTTGGAATAATAGTCGCTCAGTGGTTAAACCCTTAAAATTCCAGAAACCCAACAGTGAATCTCATTTCTTTTGCTTCTAGATACCTGTCACACCTGTCCAGGACAGTTCACTGGCACACCATGAAAAGGCACCCTCCCCTAAATTAAAAGGACTCTTCCCCAGTTGTCACAGTTGTGTCCTGTTCCTACTATATATAAAGCACATGGTCATACACAGTCACTGTGAAGTCTTGCCAATTGTTACCAGTCGTGTAAGTTCTGAGCCATTGTTAATTATCTGTATTAACTATTCTAATGTTCTGTGCTAGTGACTGGAAGATTGTTAGTTCAAATGGCCCCTAGCTATACATTATATGTGTCATATTCTCCTTCCAATAAAAACATCTTCAAAATGAACTGATGGAAGTGCTGTTCTAAAAACTGTTCTCACAAACATTAGCAGATTAAGGAGCCTAGTGTTTAGTGTAGTCAGACCTAGCTAGCCAACCAACAGGAGTAAAAATTCTATTAAAACAACATTCTAGAGACATATACCACTAATACAGAGCATGTGTTCCAACGGAAGACCAGGAAAAAGGATAAAAAGGATGACAAAGGTAACAAAGGCTCACATTTTAATGGATGTTCATCATCCAAATTTAAAGCAGTAAGTCACAAAATACCCTCAGTCCCAAACTCAGTGTTTCCAAAGTGGAAAAACTGAGAAGATTTTCACAGGAAATGAGACCGACAGAAAAATAACCATAAGTCTGTGTTACAGTCTATTCATATCAGCCTCACCCACTCAGAGAAAACTTCATTCTTCCCATGAAGATGACGACAATGATAATGACCACACTGCTGATGTCTGACTCAGTAACACCACTCAAGTGACCAAACTGCAGCCTCCTCACCACTAAGCACTAAGCTTTATGTCACAGCAACCTGGCTCAACTCTGATGGAACAACTATTCATTAGTTCTGACCCTAGCTTATGACATCAGGCCCCAGTGACAAAGAAGAATTAGCTTTGATTATCACTGCTGGCTCTTAGAGACTTTTTACACCCTTGGCTATGTTGTGCACTATATTCTAAATCACCCAAGCTCAAGACTGTTCTCATAAGCAGCATATTGTTTTTGTTCAAAGGTTATACAAAGGATACTGTCCAGGTATTTTCTTAGTCTCATTACTAATAAGACACATAACCTAATTCAGAAAAAATTCAAAAAATAATATAAAATAAAATAGATAAAGAACACTACTTTGCATATTGCAATGATTTAAAAATACTTCAGTAACTTGTGTTACATTGGGAGGAAACAATGCTTAAATGAAATTTTTGCATGTGGTATTTGTTGTCAATAGTCATGCCAAGGTTCCCAAAGAGATTCCAGGAAAACTGAAACTTGTGTGTATGTGTAATTCCACATAAGAATAATGGTGATTGAAAGAGGTGAGATGTATCAAAAAACTTCAAAATACAATATAAATGCAAAATAATAAAGTGAAGGCTTGACTGCTCAGTTCATAACATATAAGTAAACAAAACCTTTGCCCAGAGTCTTTGTACATGTTGTTGGCATCGAAGGTGTTGTCATTGTCAATGCCAGAAAGCATATGCTCTATGATTCTCTCCAGTCATTACCAAGCCTTTGTACTGTTATAGTCTTCCTGGTTACAGATGTTGTTTTGTGCTTTACGATTTTGCCTTAGCCTTGCCTAGTTCACGCTGTTTGCTAATCGACTGACCTCTGCATGTTTTTTGACTACACTCTTGCCTTACGTTTTGGAATTGTCTGCCTGTGTTTTCAATAAAGCTGCTGTTTACCTGCACTTGCATCCACTTCTGCCTCGTGACAGAATAGTTCACCAACCATACATGCAGCAGAGTGGCGTCAGATGTTAGCAGCACAGGGCTGCATCGTCGAGGAACAGCAACAGCAGATCGCCATGCTCAGTGCCCAGCTGGCTCAGCTCCGCCTCACTGCTTTGGCTCCACCAGCAACCTTAGCGGCCACGACACTACCAGCTTCTGCCCTCATCGCGTGCCCCAAGAAGTATGCAGGAGATCCCACAGGATGCAAGGGTTTCCTGCTCCAGTGCTCTCTTTATTTCACGGGTCAAGAGGCAATGTCAGAGTGCAACAAGATCGCCCAGCTCGTCAACCTGCTGACAGACAAAGCACTTGCCTGGGCGACTGACTGGGCATCTCAAGAGGGTGAACACACGGCTTCTTACGAGCACTTCCTCCAGCTCTTCCAGAAGGTCTTTGACCACTCTCCAGAAGGAAGGAAATCGGCGACAATCTCCTCAGCCTGAAACAAGGGAAGCAAAGCACTGCAGAATTCGCCTTTAACATCTGCACATTGGCCAAGGGAAGTGGCTGGAATGAATTGGCTCTCAAGGCAGCATACTGTCAAGGGCTGAACGCCAACATTCTAACTGAGCTGGCCTTCCAGGAGATCGAAGCTACCCTCAATTCCCTTATTGACATGTCCATCCGTCTTGATTTCATGCTGAGGAATCAAGGAGGAATTAAAGCCACATCCATCCCAGTTCCCGAAATCCACCCCACAGAACCCATGCAACTTGGCCAAGCAAGAAATTGTGCTACTACTGTGGCAGTCATCAGCACCAAGTACCGCACTGCCCTTCAAAGCCGCCGACCCAAGCCCCACAATGGGATCATGAGGGAGTGACCTCCACCTCTCGCTCCAATATGGTTAGTCATTCCAGATTCTTCTGTCCCCAGAATTTTGCACTCCCTGTTCAGATCATGCACTTAGAGAATATCTGTCAGGTTTCAGCACTGCCTGGTTCTGGCACCACTGGAAACTTCATCGACAGCACTCTTGCTGAGAAGCTCCAGCTAACCCTCCAACCACTGCAAAATCTGCTCCACATACAAGCACTGGACGAAGGCCCCATGGGGGGGCATTCCATCACCCACTGCACAGAAGCAATAACCCTCCCAGTCAGCACCTTGCACCAGGAACAAATCTCCCTCCTCATCACAGTTAGGAAAAGGAAATCACATGCAGCACATTGTCAGGAAAAGTGCCTACATTTTCTCTCAGTCTACATTGCTTCCACGACCATAGAAAGCCCTGGGACTCAGGCCTAAGTGGAAAGTCCCCCGGAGTACCATGAGTTTAAGGAGGTTTTCAGCAAGACCAAGGCCAGTGGATTACCACCTCATCGGCCATACATTTGCGCCATTGAGCTCCTGACTGGAACCACGCCACCTCCTAACTGCATCTACCCCTTGTCAGCAAAAGAAACCCAAGCCATGAATGAATACATCGAGGAAGCTCTGTAGCAGGGATATATCCATCGCTATGCCAGCTTCTTCTTTGTGGAAAAGAAAGGGGCAGTTTAAGATCCTGCATCAACTATCTATAAGGGCTCAACCAAGTCACTGTAAAGTACCAGTATCCTCTGCCCTTAGTCCCCTCTGCACTCAAACAGCTCTGGGAGGCCAAAATATTTATGCCAAGCTCACTGGGCCCTGTTCTTCACCAGGTTCAATTATACCATCTCCTATCGACCTGGATTGAAGTACATCAAGGAAGACTCTCTTTCACTACTATACCCAGCTCCCCCCAACGAAACCCCAGATGAATGTATTCTACCACAGTCATGCTTTGTGGGGGCCATCACATGGTACATTGACAGAGAAATTGAAGGTGCCACAGAGGGCGCCTTCGACATACGTGCCCACACCCCTCTGTGACAAACCCCTTTTGTCTCCTTATTATTATTATCTCCAAATCCTTACGCCTGATTCCCCTACCTGGCCTGCTATCAGCATTTGAAACTACAGAACTAATCTTCAACAATGTCTTCAGGTACTTTGGCATTCCGGAGGACATCGGGAGCGACAGAGGAGCATAGTTCACCTCACAGGTTTTGGGGGAGGTTCAGGGAGGAACTCTGTGTCACTGTGAGCTTAACGTCAGGTTATCACCCCCAAGCTAATGGACAGGTAGAGAGAGCCAACCAGGAGATTGGGCATTTTCTGCGAACGCTTTACACGAACCATCAAGAGGACTGGGTACACTTACTCTCCTGGGCTGAGTGGCTCCCTTCGCCACTCAGCAACCAAGCTAACCCCTTTTCAGTGTGTTCTAGGATACCAACCTCCCCTGTTCCAGTGGAATGCCAACCCAACCATCACTACACTACCCAGAGTACAACACTGCCTACAAACATGGCCACTATGGACTACAACACCCAGCAACCAACAGAGACTGCCACGTTTAAGTTCACCATTTTATTTATTACACACACCTGCTCACAATGCCTGTTTTTTGACTATGCTCTTGCCTTACATTTTGGAATTGTCTGCCTGTGTCTTCAATAAAGCTGCTGTTTACCTGCACTTGCATCCACTTCTGCCCCGTGACAGGTGTGCATGTGTGGCAACTAGTGAATATAATAATAATTACATTAAATATAATTTATAATTTCCAGAAAATTTTAAATTATTTTGAGATAATATATGATTTCAGAAAACTTTAAAGGTTTTATTTTTGTCTTCAAATGGCTGAAATAGATTTTGTCATTCTTATTTGAACACACAATAATTTTTCCCTAAGTGACTTTGGTAAATCACACTGTGGGTGG